GGGGGGGCTGCCGGCGCCGACCGAGCCCTCTCCTCCCCCTTCCCCCTGCCTGGGTTCTGTGTGATGGTGGGGTTTGGGTTCGCTTTGTTTGTTTTTGTCAGATGTGAATCCAAATGGAGCACTCGGAAGGAGGCGAGCAGAGCCAGCAGCAGCAGCAGCCCTGGGGGAAGCTGATCCGGCTGGGTGCTGATGAGGCAGAGCCGCACGTCTTGCTGCTGAAAAGAGAATGGACAATTGGTCGGAAGAAAGGTGGGACAGGGACACGCTGCGCTGGTGTAGGGTGGTGGTCAGGGGACATTACTGATACTCTCTACTGGCCTTTAAAACATTGGAAGATGGACTGAAACTAGTTGGGTTTGTTGTTTCCAACTGTTGGAGGTGCTTGCCAGGTGGTCCTTTGCGCCTAATTTACATCTTGGCTCTGTGTGGAGAGGAAGTTTTACACTGACCTTTTCTTTTTTACCAACTTGCGCATATTTAAAAGCGAATATGTCTTTTAGGTTGTCTGTGACAGTTTGTACAAACACGATTGTTGATTCAGAAGGGTTGCTGTGTGTCAGTCCTGTTTATGTTCTCATTTTGTTTCTGTGGTTAAAATAAGTTGGAACTGTAATGCAAAATGCTTGTGCTTCACAGAAAAGAGAACGCCCACATAAAAGCCCTTAATTCTTCTGGCCATATAAAGATTGCTAACAAGCACTGAAAGTTTCTCTGAGAGTGGATTTGAAAGCTCTATTCTCAGAGTCTAGGGCTATTATTACTTGCCTTTATTTTAAAGGATTTAATGCTTACTGTATTTAAAACTATCATCACAGTGTTTTAATTTTTTTTTACTTTGCCCTCACAGCACTAATTTTCAGTTTCCTGTTCATCAGTTCAAGCTATTGGACTGACCAGTCACATTCTGTAAATAGTCTCGAACAAACACCAGATGCTATAGCTCTATGAGAAATTCAGATTATGTATTACAGGAAAAATGTTTTGCCTTTTTACATTTGGTAATATACATTTAGATGGATTATCATTATCTAAGCTGTAGGTAAATTCTTCAGATTGAGGTCCTATTGAGGGTTATCTTGCAGAAAAATATGATTTTTTGCATGTTCTGTTGCTTCCATAATTGTTTGCTAATGGATTGCTAAAATAAGTGGTTACAAGAATACTAATCTTTGGGTCATACATATTACTTAGAAAATCTTCAGGAGCAGTAGAAATGCTTGTTTAGGGCATTTTGACCTTCCTGCTCCCGTATGAAAGTCCAGCTCCGTAGAATAGAATGGAAATGTTGGCATGCTCCTGAATAAAATGTAGTCTACTCGCTGTCAGTGGGCTTCCTAGTGTCACAAATTGTGTTGCAGTAGTTAACTTTGTAGGTGTTGATTGCTCCTTGACTATTTGCAGTAGACTAGGGATAAACTGTCACCGGCATATGTAGTGGCTGTTACTACCCTTCTGGATACATTATTCTTGCAGGCTGAGATACAGTGGACCTACAGTGTGAATAGGTGGAAGTGAATCATGTTTGTTAATTATAACTTTTGTGTGAGTAAGTACTTTGAGTCATTTGTGAGAAAGATTAGTGTCTTATACAGAGAACCTTGAGCATTGCCTTGAACATTCAAAGTTAAAATGAGGTAAAAATACCAGATATTCTCAGAGCCCTGGAGTTGTAGATAGGAAGGTTTCTGCGTGTCAGCGTTGTCATTACACTTCTCCTGCATATACCTAGATCTTAGTCCTGGATTTTTAGTCTTCCTTCAGCTTTATTAACATAACAGTGCTGTCAACAGAGGTGAGAAAAATTTTCCTGTTTAAAAAGAAATAAAAGAAAAAGACTTTAACATAGAATAGTGATACTCTCTTATTTGTCAGCTGTTATTTCCTACTACTTCCCCCCAATATACTGGGATAAAGCAGAAGTTAAATCCAGTGAAACAGTGTTAGAATGATGTGGAGAAAGAGCTGGGTGCTCTGTGATGTGTGACTCTAGAATTTAGATTGAACACTTCAAATATGTGTGAATTTATCTCTGTATCACTCTAGAACAGAGTAATTGTGATTTGATTTCCACCTGTCAGGGAAATGTCTTGAAATGGTTGAAATAAGCTTATATCAGCACGTGGAGCTATCTCACTGCTTGTATTTATGTTTCACATACTAGACTGTGTTGCTGCCTATGTGCCAGTAGAAGTTTTGAACTATTGCAGATGTACATGAGTCAGTTTGTTGTGCATTTATAGCCATGTAGAATGCTGATCTGTCTGTGTAATGTGTATTTTTAAGCACACTGGAAAATCTGCTTTCTTTTTAAGGTTGTGACTTATCTTTCCCTGGCAACAAGTTGGTGTCTGGAGATCACTGTAAAATAGTAGTAGATGAAGAATCTGGTCAAGTGTCATTGGAAGATACAAGGTTTGTTCTTCTGTCAACTTCTACTCTTATCTTCTTTTTAGTCTGTGGAGTAAAATCTTGTGTATTGCTCAAGGCATCGATAGTAAATCCTTCTCTTTTTTGTTTCTTTTTTTTTTTCCCTTCTTTTACATTTAGTGTTAGGGGGTGACTCTTTCTAAATATTTTTTTCTCTACAAAGGAATCATAGTCTACTGGATGAAAAATACTGTTGATGTAATAGTTCTGTAGCATATTTCTTTAGACTTGTGAAGAAAGTGATGCCAGCATTCTTAAAAGCTCAAAGCATGAGTGTGGCTCCTTTCAGGCACTTTTGTAGGGAAGAAAATACCTGCCGTGATGATCTCAAAGCATAAAATAAATGTGGAGTAAAAATCTTTATTCGTTATACCTCTTTCTGGAATCAAAGTATCAGTAGTCTATATACCGTAGGTACCATAGTAGTCTAGCACTTGTGGTGGGCATGTCAGATGGAGATTGGAGCCTATTCAATTAATGTGATCATAAAAGACGTTTGCTAGATTTCTACTTTTGATATTTCAGTTTTGTTTTCTTTTGTTTAACCAGAATGATTACTTTTTCTTCTGGGTGTTTCTGTGTTAAGTTAGGGGTGTGAGAACTAGGCCCTTAATGTAGAAAGATTTAAGCACATACTTCACTGGAACTACTCTTAAAAAGCTAAGCTAATTTAATGCAAGTACTTTTAGTATATAAAGTTAATTACATACTTCTTCACTTACTATACTGGTGAGGCTATTTCCTGTAGAGTTCTAAGGCTACTGTGGGAGTACAAATAGCACTGCAGGGGTTGTGGGTGGTTTCCAATGGATTTTAGTTTGTTTTCTAGTCTCCTTTATGAAAATTGAGATAGGAATTTGAATGGAACGGTGTTTCTTAGGAGGAGATTGTAACCCTCTTCAAATTTTCATCTGCTTCATTTTTCACAGCATTTTTTTTTTGTCTGATGGCAGAAAGCTTCTGGTTTATTACATTTCAAGAACTCTGTGACATTTTAAAATGCTTCTGTAAACCATGTTCTTTTTCTGCCAGGTTCTTACAGTCAGTAAAGAAATAATATTTTTCTGCCAGTTCCCCCCGTTTTTCATGTCTGGAAGGCATTTTACCCAAAGACGAAGACGACACTTCAAAATATATTGATGTACTTACATAAAGAGGAAATTTCACATTTGAGGTTATGAAGGGTATCATGCTGAATCCCTGTTCCAACATCCAAGAATGCAATTAAATATATTGTTCTGGTAGCTTAGGGTTAGTATCAAATACGTGCTAAGCTTTTGGCAAAAATCCCTCTAAGAATATTCCGAAAAACCTTTGAACTGTCTAATTGAATGGCATGTACATTGGGGGGGGGCACTGGCAGAATGCATGAGCTTTAGTTGACGTTTTTCTTTTAGCAGAATTCTTGCACTTCTGCTCCTTTTCTGCCTCTTGATCAATTAGTAGCTATGTTGCTATTAAAAGGAGTTTTTTTTCAGGGTGAGGAACTTTCCTCCAGAAATTTACATGGGTTATGCATTCCTCTTTATTTCCTCGAGTAAAACCATATGTATAGAATTATACAGGTTGGAAGAGACCTCAGGAGGTCACTTAGTTCAAACTCTGTCAAAGATGGGCCACCACTGGGTTTGGACTAGGTTGTTCAGGCTTTCTCTAGTCAGGTCTTGAAATCCTCCAAGGACAGGTTTTCTGTAGCCTCTCAGGCCCTTATGCCAGACCTTAATTATCCTCGTAGTCGTTTGGTTTTTTGTTTGTTTGGTTGGTTTTGGTTTTTTTTTTTTTTCCCTTGCAGCCTGTTTGAATCTTCCTTGTTTCAATTTATGACCTTTGTCACTGTCCTGGCCCAAACCACAACGGTCACCTCAGTAAAGAACCTGTCTCCTCTGTCTTGGTAACTTCCTCATAGGTACTACTTCTCCCAGGCAAAACAAGCCCCTTTGCCTCCTAGCCCTGTGACCGTGTCAGTGGCTCTCCACTGGACTCGCTCAAGTTTATCAAGACCAACCTTGTACTAGGTGACCTCAAATGTAATATTTTAGATGTGGAGTAATGAGTTCCAAGTAAAGGGGAATAATAATCACTTTGCTTGAGTTTCTGACTACACCCCTGTTCATACAGCCAAGTGTGCTGTAGGCCTTCATCGCTGCCAGGGCATGCTGCTGACTTATGCCTAGGCATAAGTCCAAGGTGTATGATCTTATGCTTATTCATAAGATCCGCCAAGAACCCTTGCTGGTTGGTCTCTAGCCTGTACTATTGCAGGTGGTTATTCCATCCCAGGTGCAGGACTTAGTGTTTGTCCTCACTGAATGTCATGAGCCCATTCCTCTAGCTTGCTTAAGTGCCTCTGAATGGCAGCCCAGCTCTGCCCCTGCTTTGATGTCATCCACAAGCTTGATGAGGGTGTATTTCCTCTTCACTTCTAGGTTGTAGGTAAATAAAATAAACAGGGTAAGTCCCTGTGTAGATCGTTAGAAGGTTTATACTCCCAGAAGCTGTAGGATGGAATACGAAATTTTTGGGAAAAATATCAGGCCTAGTTAGGATGTCTAGGAAATGGGTTGTAATTTTCATTCTCCAATGTTATCCCAAATTTCAAGACGTTTCAAACGACAGACGAGGCCATGTTTGCCCATCATGGCAGTCTCAGAGTGTAGCTCTAAATGTAAGCTTAAGAAACCATCCCTAGTTTCAGTTGCATGTAGCTGGTAGAATTAGTTTAGACCAATATCATGGTAATACAAGCTAAAGCAATTGTAAATGATGCAGAAACATTCGTCCTTTTTTTTTTTTTTTTTTCCCCCTACACATGCACACACCCCCTTCCCCCTGAGGCAGAAGGTGCAGCCAGCTGAAAACTAGCAACGCCAAATTAAAGTTAATTTTCTATATGATATATGCATGGAAAGGTGGGGCTTGTTACGATGGTATTGTAATAGAAAGGCTGAACCTATGGAGTACTACCAACTAGCTGCTTATGCATGTTACACTTCTATGTATCTAACAAAAAAGAATAAGATCCTTTATGTGTTCTGCTTGCGTGTGAGTTGGTATGAAGTGTGGCTGCTATTTGCTGAATCAAGAGACTAAACAGGTTGATCTGACTACTTGCAGAAGACTATTCTTCTGGGTCTTCCAAGGTTTATGCCGAGTATCAGATGAGCTCCAAAAAATCAAGCAGACTGAGAGAAGAAGATTTTTGAATGTTTGAGTTGGCAATACAGATTCCCAGAGTCATAGAAAAATACTGCAACATCAGCGTTTTCTTCTCTGAAGTGGAAAATAGTTTGGAAACATTGCTGTGGTCAAGCTCAGATTTTTCTGGTGAAGAGGAATGCATTGAAGGAGGCAGCTAGTGTGGGACAGTAGAACTGAGTGGGCTTGTTTCTGTATTGTAGCTAAACCAGAGAGTATCATCAAACAGCCAACACTTAGTTTTTATCTCCATGGTAGCATAATGAGTTCTTGGGTCTATTTTGGAAAGAATTACCATAAATTTGCAGGTGAAAGAAAATGTGTAGAGAACTCAAAATCATTGAGTAAATAGAAGTTTGGAAATAACAAAACCCAAGAGTTAGCAAATAGTACAATAAAATATTCACAGACTTGCCCTTTTTTCGGGTGTGTTTCTGCTTGATTTTTCCAAACCATGCACAAGTTGCTTTATACTGCTTGAAAGAAAACAAATAATACGAGCTGACCTGACACAGTGGAGGCAGTAGTTGACTTGTCCTAAGTAAAAGCAATTATAAGATTCTCCATTTTGAAAAAGAAATTTTAAAGGTAACTAAGGTGGTTTGTTTTTTTTTTTTTTAAACCTCCTCTTGTTGTCTTCTAGACTTTTTTTTAAGGATTCTAAGCAGTAAGTGACGTTACAGAGCAGGAAGCTATTTGCACAAGGCTGACACTCGTGACAGGCAAGCAGATGTCCCCTTTCTGTGGGTAAATCGGGGGCTGATCTTCAGCTGACACTGGTGTTCTTTCTGCTACTAAATTCTCCTCACCCTACCAGTCAAAACTATTTCTGTGAACATTAAAAGAATGGAGTCTGACACAGGACAGAAGAGATTCTCTAACTTAATAGGATTCAAGACTCATTCCAGTTTACAGTTCAGGATAATATACATTTAAATAGCAGATAACTATTAAAACTATTAACCCAGAAGCTTTACTGTAAATTACATTGTTTTCCTGGATGGACGCTAGTAATTACTGAGAACTAACAGACTGGCATTTTTCTCGGAAGGATACCAAAGTAGTTTATAACACACAGATAATTCACTTACTTCAAAAGTAAGCTTGTTCTGAGTGAAATGTAGCTGTTCACATGAATTCTGCGCAACAGTTGGGATTGGGAAGTACAGGTAATGTATAGTTCATTAATCAAACTGTAGAGTCATCAACCCCATTGGAATTGAGTCAAGGCCTGACTTTTTTTCTTCCACTTTTTAGAAAAGTGACATTGGGACCTTTTGTGACATTGTTTCACAGTGCAGACAATTTATATCCAAGAGCACCGTTTTTCTTCACCACCTCAAAAATTATACAGCCAGTTGGTATCAATTCAATATTAAGTCTTAATGAATGGCCTTCATATTTGGGATTCTCGTTGTGCTTTCTACTTATTTTATGGGAACTTACTTTAATTTGAAACATCAGAGGAATGTACAAATATCATAGTTTATCTTGTGTGTTTGGTTAAAAAATGCCCACTACATTAATCCGATATGTCACCATATCTGTTAAATGCCTCATTCTGAATCCTGAAACTGGAAATGAAAGACTAATACAATTATCTGAGGGACCTGGATATTTTTTTCCCCCTTTGATTATTGGCTGAGGTACAAATGCAACTACTTGAGTTTGCTAACATATTTAAAGAAAAGCTTATGTTTTTCTGTGTTAAGTGGTATCAGTTTATTCCTACTTCATTTTGGGTCCGTGGATGCCAAGTAATTTGTTAGTCAGCTCTCATTGAAGTCTGTAGAACTGTGCAGAACTGAAAAGATATGGCTATTTGTAGTCAGTTTGACAATTAGGGTCTTGAGAAGCTATTTCTGCAGCTCGCCTTGTGAGATCAAGCACGAGTGGTTACTAGATGTGTAGTGATTTTTATTTTTTTTCTTTTTCCAAGAATACATGCTTTTAGTGATGGCTCTGTTCTGCTGGTTCTTTGGTGCTCATGTCTTTCAGGCTAGTCAATATCTGTATGCCTGAGGTGTAAAAGGCAAGCTTAAAATGGTTTGCTTGCTTATAGGAGAAGCCTGAATATGCTTTCATGGAGCAAATATCCATGTGACCCCAAGATTTTTGTTTGTTTCTTGATGTTTAGAGTAGCATTTTTATTTTTCTTTATCTTGTTATTTATGTTGGATTAGTTGATTCAACCATGTAGATAGTGAAAGTAGGTGCAGAGGACAGAGCAAGAACTGGTACCTTGAACAAGACTTGCTGTAGTGGTTCAAAAGGGCTTTCTTTTCCTTTTGACTTTTTAATGCTTTTGACTCTGTGTCCAAGCAGGGCAACAGTAGGAAGGTCTAGTTTTCTTTCTCTGTTCATTTTACTAAGTGGCAAGAGGTTTTTTTTCAGGTTTATTTTTAAAAGGAAAATAATGAGAAGGGAATGTGCTTCTTTCTAAATAACCAGAGAAACTGGTCTGTTTGAGGAAGGCTATGTTGTGTCCTGGGCACAAGTGGTGACCTCCAGGAGGTGGCAGCAGAGGCTTGCTGTTATTTCGTGCAGCAGCTTGCTTTGCTGAGGGAAAGAAGTAGATTTTCTGTTCTTTTATATTTGGCACTAATTGCTGAGAATTTGAATGGCAGAAGTCTGAAATTCTAGAATGCTGCAGCTCTGAAAGAGGCTTATTGCAACAGAGCTGAAATTATTCAATGCTTGAATAACTTGACTCGGTTATAAAACTTTAATAGCCTGTGTATAAAACATCACCCATAGTGAAGAAGCAGAGATACCTCCGTTAATCATCAATGCTCTGCATTTTCCTCTTCCTCTCCCTCAATTTAATTTCTTCCATAAATCTTGGAGTTTTTACCAATATCAAAATAATACATTCCAAGTCATCTTTTAATTACGTATAACTGTTTTCTCACCTTACTAACTTCTCGCTTTTCAGTTGCAGACAGTCTAACCTTAGAATTTTATTTTTTTTTTAATATTTGAAGCAAGAGAGGAGAAAAATTAATGCTATATAACATCCCCAACTATGGGAAAAGTTCCTTCATCGCAAAATGTCTTAGGAGATTCCTAGTGTTAATTGTAAAACATAACCTAGAGCTTTTAAAATGTAACTCCCATTGCCCTTTCCTGTTTTATATTTAGAGTGGAGATTATTGTACAGAAACAATTATCTAATTCGTTTGAGACATTGGCAAATGTCAGGGATCTTTTGTTAGATCTGTCAGCTGCCATCCCTTAGTAGCTGCAAATGAGCTTTGAAGCTCTAGTAGCCCTGCACTTCTTTGGGACATATTTTTTATTTGTTTCTGAATGTTTGGTGTTTTTTGATCCTGGCTTAAATTTTATTTTTTCTTCATTGAAAGTATCTTGTGGTTTCCCTTCCTGCTCCTATGTAATTATGAAAACATTTATGCTGTTATCTTTTCTTTCTCTTTACAGTACTAATGGAACAGTAATTAATAAACTGAAAGTGGTGAAGAAGCAGACATACCCTTTACAGACTGGGGATGTGATCTATGTTGTTTACAGAAAAAATGAGCCAGAGAACAGTAAGTAAATGATATTTTTTTAAATGGCATACTTAGTCATTTTTTGAGTCATGAGAGAAAAGAAGTATCAGTACAATTAAAACAGAATTACCCAATTTTAAGACAAATAATTTGTTAACGTTTAAAAACAAGTCTCTGTAGAAGACATCATGGATGTGCCAGTTCTTACAGAGTCTGAGCAACTGTCGGAAATTGAAATGTGCCTAGAAGTAGTTTTGGAAGAACTAATGCATGGAAAGGTAACTAATGAGGTCCTGATCCCATGCCTGATGTGTCTTTTAGAAGTCAAATTGCTGGGGTAGTTAGTGATACTTTATATATCACATTGAAGCAATTTTTGGCACCAGAATGAAAGTCTGCAAAAGCTTTTTCGTTTGTGTTGTCTTGGTTTTTTGGTGTGTGTGTGTGTGTGTGTGTGGTTTTTTAAAGGGGAAGAGGCAAAATGGAGGGGAGGTGGGGAAAGCCCTAGAGTGAAAGTAGAATTAGTAAACCTAGAAAAATATTTGTGTGGCCTTAAAGAATAATCAGGCCTCACATGCCTATAATTCTTTTCAGGATGATGTGGCTGAAGTAGCATAATTAAGTTTAAAAATAAATAAATAAATAATGGGGGTCCTTCTGTACTGGGAGATAGGAGGGTGTACACACATTTACAGCATAGTATTTAATGTAAAACGCAAGACTGTATTTACAATTTTCATACAGTAATAGACATATGAACTGTTAATCTAACAAATTCTAGATTTACACATACTGACTACTGAAATACTTCCTTTATGAAGTTGCTGTTAATTTATATACAGATAGATCAGAACAATTTATGCTGTCTGATGTAAATGTTACAAGAGGCAGTGATAAGCACTATTTGTCTGTATGGCTTGTTTATCTCACAAATCCCTTCTAAGATGGCACTATTGCAGTTGATGCTACTTGGAAGAACTCACTTATGTGAATTTTCCAGGTACTTTGTAAAGAACTGAACCACTTATTTCTGTTTGGGTTAACAAGTTTATGCATTACCAAGCCTCCAGTTTTGCTTTTTCAGCTTCTCCATCTTCAAAGACAGAGAGAGAATTTAGATTTGGCATGCCTATTTGGACATTCTGGAGTAGTTCTGAAGGAGACAATACTCTTAACTTTTGATCGGAAAAAGGGTTGCTACAAACTAAGAGAGTCTTATTATTTGCTTCTAGGGGGCTGGAGATGGAAAAAAAAAAACAACCAAACTAGCAAGTTAGGGGAATCTTTGGAACTGTATTAGGTTGAAGTAGGATGGAGACGAAAGGGATATTATCCAGTTGGTTTTATTAATGGGCACTAAATTAGTTTCTGGGTGAAACTTATGGCATGTCTTAACCTGTATTTTTGAAAGTTCATGTATCTCACAAAGGAATGAAATAAAATTGATCGAAAAAGTTGAGAAGTGAACTCAGAAATAATAAGCTTCTTTGAAGAACTTTCATTGAAATATCAGTAAAAATACAGTTTGTTCTGACACAGAGCAGATTTTCGGTTTAAGAAATGATTAAGCCTCTGGTTCCATGGCTGGCACAAGTTAAACGTCACACAAAAGCTGCTCTGCCTGGTTTCCTTAGAAGAAAAGATCTTGCTGTGCTGTTCCTAATTGCCTCCTAAGTAGGAGTATTAACATTGTACTATAGAGGTGACCCGTCATTTGCCTCTTCCGTGGTCAGATACTTTGGGGAAGCAGCCGCTTGTGAATAGAAGCTGTTTATGTGAGATTGAGGTTAGTGAATTTTTGTTTAAAGATTCTAACCAATATTTCTTAATCTCTTTCAGATGTTGCTTATCTTTATGAATCCTTAAACACAAAACACGATGCAACTCAAGAACCAGTAGGTAAGGAAGTAGTTCAAGATCCATGAAGAGGAGCTAAGCTCCAATCACTAATGTAACCCCCTTGAGAGGGTTTGATTCCTTGGAATTTTGAAGCCATGATATGGTGACTGTCACACGGATCTTTTTCTTTCCTTTCCCCCCTTCCAACTGTAGAAGTTAATGTAGAAAACCAATGCCATGCGACCAAAGATACCTCAAGTACAGGAAGAAGTAATGATGAGACCCAAATTACCTCATCACTGTCAGCTACTCAGTCTTGCTATGAGGAACCACAGCCATCTACTTCTACATCTAACCTCTTTAATGCTTCTTCTACCTCTCTTAT